GGTATCGAGTAAAGGCCATGGATGATCGTCGAGCCACACAAAATTGTGGTGTAGCTTTGAAGGCAGATACCATAAGTTATACTAGTCGAAAAGACAAGAATCCTCGTGTGGGCCAAGACTTGATGGGAAGAGTATGCACATTAAGGCCTCGTTTCGCCTGTATACAGCCATGACTTGGCGAAAGTGGCTCAAGTGTGAGTACGGGTCCGTCTTCCCTTCATATGTGGTGAATTTCGACTGAAGGAAGCCTGATGGTAGGGACGCGTTTTCGATCGCTGGAACAAACGGTGAAGTCTGCAGCCTTGCTAATGCCTTGTCCGTCGGTTCATAGACAGGGCGCGGTATTGGCATTCCAACCTTGACGCTTCCATGCGTCCGAGGAGCCAACCGCTGCAAGGCTGAAACTCTATGTGGATCCCTTGCCCTGGCATCCTCCTTGCATCGTGCTTTCTCTTCGAGCACGGTTCGTAAGTCGGATGATCTGGGTAATTCCGTCTGTTTAGATCTGGTTTGGTGCGAATGCGAGGGCCAATATGTGCTTCTTTCAGTGTATGACCTTTCAGATCTCGTCCTCTCAGACCTGGAGTGACGAGTTCTGGAAGACCAGGATTGAGTGTCGCCTGTCCTGAGGCTTCTCCTCTCTCCTTGCGAGGGTGTAGTATTCCTACTACGATTTTCTGAGTGACGAGGGGGCGTCTTGTTTTTGCGCGCCTCTCCTGTCGCCACTTCTTTTTTCTTCATCTGGCGTTTCAAGGCCTCCATGTCCGCCGCCATCTTCTTTATCAATTCATCTTGCTCTTTCACGCGGTCTTCCAGAGCTTGAGGGTCAATCCTCCGTCTTTGCCTGTCGGGACTTTGAGAATGGGATTGACGGGGGCTGTGAGTCCGTCTCCCCCTAGCATCCCTCCTAGAGGTATGTCTTTGGGGCTCCAAGTCTGCCATGGGAGGGATAGAAGGTAATCCTTCACGCCTTGCGCCCCCTTTTGAAGTTAGTCCGTCGACGGCGAACTGCGACAATTCTTCAATGTGTGCCATTGAATGTAAAGGGGAGAAGCTTTAATCAAGAGGTTTTGTTCTGTCTGTTCTTTCCCACAGACGGCGCCAATTGTACGGGGAAGAAATAATTCTCCTCGTATAATCCTGTTGACTAAGTCCACGCTCCTCCGTACGACGTCGCTTTGTCACCTGAAAACATAAACGTGAGCTAGTCGGCGGGTGTGTGCCGGAAACCTCTCCGATGCCTAAGTCAGAAAACTTGACAAATAGACAAAGCTCAATGTATTCAGGAAGCAAAAATGGTATATTGTGTTATGTTACCTCCTCCAAGGTGATGCATGTAAGCTTTTATAGGTTTCGAGTGGCCCAATCCTAGTAGGACTTTTTTTTCTCCATACAGAGTCCTCCTAGGATTCATACTCCTAAAAGATAATGCTTATTCTTTTACACCCCCCACTGCTTAAACCAAGTGGGATGATTTTTACTACGGCCGAATTACCATTTAACCGAGGTAAACTGGCTAAGCTGAGCCACGAGGTGGGCCGAACTATCCCTAGTTCGGCCCTTCCATTTACTCCTCATCTTGGTTCTCCCTTGCATGAACCATGATATGTTGGGACCGAGCTATCAAGTAGCAAGGTCTTGACCGACCTATCCAGAATACGTCATGACCGGACTAACTCGGAGACCGGACTAACTCAAGTTGTCCAAACCGAAGTAGCTTTACAATTCCTGAGTCGAAGTAACTTCATCTCTTTTGACCGAAGTAACTTTATTTCTCATGGGCTGGAGTAACTTCTCGGCCCATTTTACCCGGTCCTTCGTACTTTGGGGCCATAAAGTCTATTTCATAACTCGGCTCAATTTTTACCAAAAATTACCCTCTCACCAGATACAGCGAGCAAATAATTATAAATATTAATTACAAAATATTTGTAATCTCTTTGCACTTTTTATATATTCATAAACACATTTCTATACACTTTTTATATATTTATTCTTTGGGTTTTGTTTTCCAGGATAACAAAATTTGACTGATGAGGCGGAGCAGTCAGAACTTCGTTCGTTAGCTTTTTTCACACGTCCAATCCATGATAAACATCGTTTTGTTCATTTAGGCCCTTTGAATATGTAGTCGCTCTTAGGTTGTACAGATGGTCCATGCGAAGTGTGGTCCATTCAGACACAATAGGTGCGTTTGATTGGGAGATTAGAGGGAAATTATTTATTATTCGGATTGTAATTTGAGGTAAGATTTTTATCCGGCGTTTGTTTTTTTAGTCCGTTAGATATGAATTCCTGCCAGACTCCTTATCTCTCATATGTGGGATTATATTGTTCGAAGGGAGTGGGAGACAATTTTCATGAGATTATTTACGGTTGAGATTAAGTGGTGAAATGATCATTTTGACCTTCTACTATTTAATTATGTATTATATTTAGTAAAGTTTAATAAAATTTAAATGTCTCAATTTAAAAATAAAATAATTTTATTTAACTTTTTATTGATGTTTTATTTATTTAATTTTTTAATGATATTTTATTTTAAAATTTTGTAAAAATAGCATAATTTTATATTTTTAAAATTTTAATTAAAAAAATATCATATATTTTTATTGATATTTTATTTATTTAATTTTTTAAAAATAAATTTATTTAATTGTATAAAAAATAAAATAAAATAATTTTTTATTTAATCTAGCTAAAAATAATTAAAATATTAAAGATATGTTTAATATTGTTATTACTTAGTAAACAATGGAAAAAAGGTAAAATAGTCATTTGCTCATTTATCCTATCCTGTCGGTCCAACCAAACATTGTATTCACTAAAAATAGTATTTTCTAAACATCTAATCTCATGAAAAAATAAACACGGGATACACATCCAATCCCAACTAAATAGTTCGGGGAATTCATAGTTCCAGGATTCAAATTCAATGGATTCTAATCCCCTTATTCAGTCCGTCCAATCAAATATTTTTTTTTGGTTATTTTCAGATATAAAACACAATAAATATATTGGCAGTACACTATTGGAAATATTTATGACTGACGTCAATTTTTTCCAAAAAGATTTTTATGTTGGGCAGAATACTCTTCTAGAAAAATCATTAGACTTAAATCCTGTATTGTTGTTTCCACCCCCACATCATTCCACAGTTGTGATCAGAAAACAGTTTCCATTAAATGGAGTCTGTATTGTTTTATAGGACACACATAAATCTTTCTCATCCTGTGCACGAGTTCACGAGTCAGTATATGTTCTTGCGCATCCTACAAGAGAAAGTAACTGTAAAACTTCCATGATTGGGTGTTTTATATTCTAGTCATTCTTTTAGGGACGGAATCATATTGGCTTAGACTCCTTTGTGATGCATCTTTAGAATACGTCGTGTGGTCATTTGAAATTTTTTAGCTGATAATTCAGAAGAGCTTATACTTGAAATTGAAATCTAATACTTAAATATTTGGTTGGAACTTCAGTTTTTTTAACTCCAAGAGCTAAGCAAACTCCTGTTTACATTTTGCCTTGTGAGATTGTTAACTAGTATCATTATGCAGATGTGCATTCTTATATTCGTGGGAACGAACGGTGAGACCTACTTCAATACGGCAGCTCTGGTCTCGTGTGTGCAAAACTTTCCAAAAAGCCGAGGTCCTGTTGTGGGAATACTAAAAGGATTTGCTGGATTGGGTGGTGCAATTCTGACTCAAATATTTGCAGTGATCCATTCCCCTGATCATGCATCACTCATATTCATGGTTGCAGTTGGGCCCGCAATGGTGGTTATTGGCCTCATGTTTATTGTCAGGCCTGTTGGAGGTCACAAACAAGTCAGATCATCTGACGAGAAAAGTTTCTCATTTATCTATAGTGTGTGCCTCCTTTTGGCCGCTTATTTGATGGCAGTCATGCTTCTCGAAGATCTAGTTAATTTGAGCCACACAGTGATCATAATTTTCACAGTGATTTTATTTATTCTTCTATTTATCCCTATTTTGATTCCTATCTCATTGTGTATTTTCCAAGAAACTAGAGATCCCGCAGAAGCAGCTCTTCTGCCTGAATCACAGAAACAAGAACCTAGCAAACCTGAACACGATATAAATGATGTTATATTTAGTGAGATGGAAGATGAGAAACCCAAGGAAGTAGACTTGCTACCGGCTTCAGAGAGGCAAAAGAGAATCGCCCAACTGCAAACAAAACTAGCCCAAGCAGCTGCAGCAGGAGCAGTAAGGGTCAAGCGGAGAAGGGGTCCACATAGGGGAGAGGACTTTACCTTGACGCAGGCTTTGATAAAGGCAGATTTTTGGTTGATTTTTTTCTCACTTCTATTGGGATCGGGATCTGGTTTGACGGTGATTGATAATTTGGGTCAGATGAGCCAATCTTTGGGTTACAATAATACGCATATATTTGTTTCCTTGATCAGCATTTGGAACTTTCTTGGCCGTGTTGGTGGGGGTTACTTTTCTGAGATTATCGTCAGGTATGATTAAACTTCATTTTTATCCGGGTCTTGGCCTTTTCTCATTCAACCTTGTAATTTTCTTGAATAGGGACTATGCTTATCCAAGGCCAGTGGCCATGGCTATTGCCCAAGTCATAATGGCATTTGGGCACTTCTTCCTTGCTATGGGTTGGCCTGGGGCAATGTACATTGGTACTCTGATGATCGGACTTGGGTATGGGGCCCACTGGGCAATTGTTCCAGCTGCTGCCTCTGAGTTGTTCGGCTTGAAAAAATTCGGAGCTTTGTACAATTTTCTCACTCTAGCGAACCCTGCTGGTTCCTTAGTCCTCTCTGGTCTGATTGCAAGCAGTATCTATGACAGTGAAGCAGCGAAGCAAGCCCATCCTTACCATCAACATCAACAGGATTTGGGATCAATATTTTTAGGTAGTCTTGGTCAGGATGAACCACTAAAGTGTGAAGGAGCTGTATGCTTCTTCCTGACGTGCATGATAATGTCGGGACTTTGCATCATTGCTGTTGTTTTAAGTATGATTCTTGTCTATCGGACTAAGATTGTTTATGCTCACCTTTATGGAAAATCTCGTACTTGACTTGCGGGAAGAGAACCACGATGGGTTTTCAGAACTCTGTTATTTTGGATCAGCATTATCTGTATAATTTGTGTAAGATGGCAGGGATTCCTCTGTATCCAACGCATATTTCTAAAAAGGAAGAATCTTCAGAACAACTCTCCCCACGTTCTTCTACGGCAGATGGGCACTATCTTTTTGTTGAGTGATGTAAGATTTTTAGTTTTGAATGTCTCTTGTATCTTGTCAAAGTCGGATTTTTTTCTTGGAGGTGATTTTTTTTTCATTGAAGTTGCCTTTGTAAACCATTTCATAATGAATATAATGCTTCCTGTTTTCAACCAAAGATTCGTTTTCCAGCTCAGACATTTTACATTTTTAGCATCAGCGCCATGGTTCAATCGAATCAATGGTTCCAACATCACATGGCCAGTTGAAATGGATGATTCTGATACATTAACTTTCAATGTTATTTCATATGTCTCTGTCCTAAAATTTATTGGGAACTTGTTCTCATGTATTGAAGGTTGTGCTGTCTCTTCTTATCTCTCCTTGGTTACCAGTTTTGACTCCCACTCTGCCAAGCTTCCTCATCGCAGTGACAAAGGCTCAATTAAATTCATTCGGGTTATTAGCAAAATCGTTAACAGTAGGCCGCGATGTGGGGTTGGTAAAGAGCACTTGATCTGAAGTGAACAAACCCTTCCTCGCAATCAGATTCTGGTAATAGACATTGTCGAATGTTCCTGGGGTTACAGGATCCACGTTAATGACAATGGTGGGACCTATATTCTGAGGACAGGCTTGCATCAGCTGTTGAGCATGGTTGGGGTCCAGATAAGGATCCACAGGAGACGATGGAGAGAATGAGTAGAGTCGATTTTCAACGTTGTTGCAGTGGGAAACGCCAACTGTGTGAGCCCCAGACAATGCAATCATATCAAATTGGGTGAGATTGTTCTTGACAAAGATGGCGTTGAGTTGAGTGAGATCAAAGAAGGGTTTGGCCAGATTTCCAGCAACACAAGATGCCAGGGAGATGCGTCTGTCACGACGTCCCAGCTCTACACTGAATGAAGGACCTCCAGCCTACAAAGAGGTTTTGTTACGTCAAACAAAAAGGTGAGTCTGAATTTTTCGCTTTGCAGTCGAAGTAAGAAACATATCAACATGACATACTCTACTAGGGTTTGAAATGTAAGTATCTAAGATTCATGGAGACGGACAAGGGGCACATCATTTTCAAAAAAATTAGAACACGAACACCAGTGGCACGGCAAAATATATATTTATATATATTCTTTATTTACTATGTATATGAGTAAATTTAAGATGCATAGATACAAGAGGTGTAGATGTATGTGGGTACATTTGTACTTTATTTTTACTTTTACCTTCTTTATTTTCACATATTTTACTTGGACTGCAAATAAGCTTTCTAAAATTATAAATTAAATAAGAAGCCTACAAAGATGTCCTCAAGTATGTCCAAACACAGGACATGAGTGTCTATGAAGTGTCTCAATGTGTCCTATAAAAAATAATAATAATTTTAAACCAGATATGTCATGTGGCACGTCGGCAATGTGGACACGCGTGTCCTCTCGGGTCACTCGTCTTGGAGTCAGTGTTTTGTGGATAAGTACTTTTGCAGGCGAGTGCATGTTTACCAGGACTACAGTATCTTTTGCAGCAATTGCCAAGATGTCTGCACATGATACGACATCGGGGCATGCTGCTTCTACTGCTTGTTTTGCCTTGATCAGTGTCAAAGCCATCTCCAGCGAGTGAGAGATTATCTTGAGCGTCTCTCTCTGCATCCCCGTTCGGTGATGCAATCATGATTGAGGTATCACATCCCTGCAAAGGTTAGCGTCATTAATTTCTATCACAATCACAATCATTATGAGTCCATTTAGACGATTGAATTAGTCCATTATGGTGTTCTTGACATTGTAAATGATAAGATTTTCAAAAAGTTTTGAGAATAATGAATAACAATGCAACTCTGTCTTCTGTTTGAATGATAAAGCATGAACTTAGTAGTAATGTATCCGAAGATATTATGCCAAGACTTGCTACAAGAATTTTCATCCATTAATTGTCCCCTCTGTCTCTCTCTGTCTCTCTCTCACACACGCACAAATAATCTGCGTGCTTCTTTGGCACCCCAATCACCGGCAATTGGACTTGAAATACCTTCACACATAACAATAGAAGACTAACATGACAGAAACAGAAGTTTTGTTTAGCTATGTCACCTCAGCAAAGCAGTCATGAAAAAATAAACGAAGAGTGGCCGGAATTGTGGCGAACGTCTGGCTTAACTTTGTGGATACGGCGTGGTGCACGATACTCTCCACGTTGGGGCAACTTGAGCTGTAGAAATTCTCTACCAATTTTTCCCTTCTGCTGATCTCCCTGTGACCATGATCACTAACAAATACAAGCCTCTCCATGCTTCCATTTCCTTCTCTTTATTACTCAATTTTCACCTCCCTCTCTCTCTCTGCGTAGTTCATTTACAACTATTCCTCTTATAGGGATGTAATAATGGCCTGGCCCGGGCTCGGGGCAGCCCATGTGTCATGACCCGAACCCGCCCCCGTGGGTTAAGGACATAACCGGCCAGTAATCATGAGATTACCTACGGCCTCAAACAAAACCAAATGTATTTTAACAGAGTTAACGGGGGCCAAACGGAAGCAATTTAAAACTTTGTCCATAGAGCTGTGCTTACATGGCACATCATAACAAACCATCCATATGCATATTAATAACTCACAGCGAAGTATGTACTACATAAGGTTCTGTACATACAGGATCATGTAAGTCTAAGTCAACCCATCACGACTATATACAACATAGGCAAAGTCTTCGCCAACATGACAAAATATAAATACATAACAAAAGGGCGAAGACGGGTCTCGTGTGTGAGACACAAGGTTGACTCTCTCAAAACCTTTGTTGTTCCACATAGACTTTACTGGGACTGGGTTTAGACTTCTCTGGGTTCACTTACAAACACATGAATGAGCGTGAGCGATAGCCCAGTGAATAATATCAAATATAGAAGTTATACAAACGATGTGTAGAACAACATGCTTCAAACGGCCTTGGGCTCGATTCATATTTTTATTTAACATATATATACACAATTTAGGTCAAGTGACTGCGGTTCCGAACAAACTGGCCTTTGGCCCATTTAAACTTTCATTTGTGTCAAAACGGCCTTTGGCCCATTCAGATGACAAACTGGCCTTTGGCCCATTCATTCGTTCATGTCGAAACGGCTTCTGGCCCATTCATTCATGTCAAAATGGCCTCTGGCCCATTCATTCATGTCAAAACGGCCTCTGGCCCATTCATTCTATTATTTAGATCAGACTGGCCTCTGGCCCACTCATTTGGTATGGCAAATATTGTCCACCAATCGAATCAATGAACTTACAAAACTTACATAGAAGTAAGCAATTGGACAACAACATTTTTCAGATATCTCTGTTAAGATATTATTCATAGTGATCGGTTGGTTGGTTTGCCCTGGAGCTCGACCCTATACATTCCATGGACACAAAAGGGTCACAAACAATTCAATCCGTTCTAAATTCATATTTTCCTCTTTAGGCTTCATTCTTATCTCTTTAACTCAATTACAATGCTTAATGCATGCCTAAGAGTACTTGGAAGTGAAAAAGAACAGAAAATGAAACACAGAATGTCTTTTCAAAATTTCAAAAAACAGGGTCCCCGCTCGAGCGGACCCTTGAGGCCTGCAAAAGTACTGGATATGTCAAATTTACGCTCGATCGCGAACTCTGGCGCTCGAGCGGAAGGCCTCTCTACATGGCTCCTCGCTCGAGCGTTAAATTACCCCACTCGAGCGGACACCATGTCTGCAAAAAGTGCTGGATGCGTCAAAATTACGCTCGAGCGTGAAGTCTGGCGCTCAAGCTGAAGGTCTGTCTATATAGTTCCCCGCTTGAGCGTAAACTTACCCGCTCGAGCGAACATCCAAGTCTGCAAAAATACTGGGAGCACGAAATTTACGCTCGAGCGGCGGTTTCCCCGCTCGAGCGGACATCAAAATTCTAGAAAACCCAGAACATGTTCTTGAGCTTCAATTCGACATTCCATCCAACATTTCTTGCATGCAATAGCTCAAACTTCAAATACACTTGTACTAACATGGTATAAACCCCAAATTACAACCCAATGAAGCTCAATTTCATGAATCAAACACATGCATGTCTCAAATTAACTCAAACTCATCACTAACACATTAGATTCAAACATGTAAGACTCAAACTCCCATGATTTGCACTTGCATGAAAAATATACACAATATCCTCAACTTAATTGGTGAAGAGATGATCAAGTACATGGTCTTAAACCAAAATTTCAACATGGATCATACACATTGTGCTCAAATATGGAAATTCATAGTAATTTCTTACATGCATGCATCTATTGACTTTAAATTCAATAAATACAACTCAATTCCTTTATAATCAAACTAATTCATGTTCTTGACCATTAATCAAACTTGAATCCACAAAATTACAACTAGAACTCATGAATTACTCACCAATGAGCTTTAATCTTCACAATTTATGGCCAATCCTTGCACCTAACCTTCCCAATTCACAATTCATAAGCAAAAATACACCAAGATGCCTCTTTTCTCTTTCAAGGTCGGCTCTCTCTCTTCTCTTGAGTTCAAAATCAGTCAAATGAAGCTAAAGAGAGAATTTGGGTGAAAGTGGCCCACTAAATAAGCTCCTATAATCAAAATTCCTAATATTTAAGTAATTGAGCACTACCCCATTAATTTAATCCATTTAATTTGATCCGAATCAATTTTCAATTAAACTTCACCGTAGGCTCTAAAAATTATGCCAACCACAATGGCGTAACCAATTTCAGTTTCTGTGGCCGATAGGGCCTTCAATTTAATTTCCAAAGCAGACAATCAAACAGATATTCGTACGGTGAACAGATAGAAATTCAAAACCACATATTTTCACATAATGGCACACAAAATCATATTAAACACATAATCATATTTATGTTAAGGACTAATTAGCTTACTACAGAACAAGGATATTACAGTCTTCCCTCCTTTAGGAAGTTTGGTCCTCCAAACTTAATTTACCTTTATCGGGAAACAAATGTGGATAGCGTAGTCGCATTTCATCCTCCTTTTCCCACATGACATCCGTTCCATAGTGTTCTTTCCATTCCACTTTCACCATTGGGATGGACTTGCTTCTTAGTTGTTTCACTTGTCGGTCAACGATTCGTTCCGGCCATGTTCCATATTTTCATCAATAGCTACCCGGTGAT